CGGGCCCGATACCGATACCAGTATCGGTATCGGTGCATCCCTACTTTACTTATTTCATTCTACTTATTTATTTACTAACTTTATATATTTATTTTGTTAATTTTCTTTTACTTTATTTACCTTTTATTATTTACTCATTTACTTTTTATTTATTTATGTAGTTATTTATTCACTTATTTACTTTATTTATTTGATTATTTAATTAATATGCATTATTTGTTTATTTACTTATTTACTTGATTTGCTCATTTAATTTATTTACTTATTTACTTTATTTTCATTTATTTATTTATTGACTTTTTTTTTTTTTTTACACTCACAAATAGCAATTTCGACTCAAAATATTTTACATCTTGAGATATCTAGAAAAAAAATTAAATTAATTATAGAAATTCCCATAACTTTAAAGGTCTAGAAATCACAAATATATCCAGGGTTTCCCTGGTTCTTAAATAAAACTGACATTTGTTAAGGGAATGAATCAAAATGAGAAATATGATGTCCGGTTTTATTTGATTGTTTGAAGGGTTAATATCTGGTTTTGATGATGTTCTGGTGTCTCTCTCTGGTCCTGTAGGTGTGCAGCACGAGTCTGGAGGGTCAGACCTTCTTCTCCAAGAAAGACAAGCCCTTGTGCAAGAAACACGCTCACACCGTCCAGTTCTGATCTCACACTGAAACCAACGCCTTGCTGGTCATATTTGACTTTTGTGAGATTTATTTTAGTGCATGAATGTTTATGAGAAGAGAATCAGAAACTGCTTCCCTGAATAAGACTGTTTCATGTTCTGGGTGTGTTTGTCTGTTTTTGAGCGAGTATATCATGCGATGCAGTGTTTTATTGAGATCTTTACCATGATTGAAAATGATCTTGACATGCAAAAGATATTTCATTTGTAATTTGTAGCATTACAGAAGTTCATATTCTATTTTCCACATGTATTTAAAGAGCCATGACTCTGTGCTAATATATTTTTCACACTCATGAGATCAGTGTGAGTGCTGCAGTACATCCAGCTCTCTTTATGCAGGTATATTTTATATTTATTGAGACTATTTCGGGGGCTTTGCGCGTATTTTACTTTCAGAGCGGTGATGTTTAATGTTTTATGAGTTATTTCTGTGCTCTTTTATCTGTGTCAGGTTTGTGGGATGTCTGATTGATTCTGTGCCTTTATTTGTATTAATATACAAAAATGTTTCATATTTAGGCCTAAAGTCATTCAGACTGTTTTATAATCATTAGCACTCATTTTGAAGCTAATAAGGGTCGGTGGTTCATGTGCATCTTTATTCTCTTTGTTTTAGTTGCCTGTAATTCACTTCTTTATTCTGAGATGGGATGAAAAATAAAACATACATTAATCATAGTGTGATTAAAATGATTTTTTTTTAATGCAACACTGATCACAACATCCATTGTTATCATTAACTAAACTAAAACCATAAAAAAATTATTGCTTAGATAGATAGGTGTGTGTGTGTGTGTGCGCGTGCGCGCGCATATGCAAAGATGACAAATATGAGATATGCAAATTTATAAAACAAAAATGTCAATTTCAGCTAGTCATTTTTGTTTAGATTAAGTTGAAGTACAAAATAACAAACTAAAAATTTATAAAAACTTTAAGTAAAAGAAATTATAAAAGTGAGAACAGAATGGCTTAAAGTTTAACTAAAATTAAAACAAAATATATAGAAAAATATTCTATATTATTTCACATTTTCATATATTCCACAAGAGAATAACTCTAAAATTAGAATATACCAAAAAAATTCTAATTTTTGTTTACTTCAAGCTTAAGTACTAAAATAACTCAAACTAAATACACAAACTAAAAATGAATCAAATCTATATTTACATATAAAAATGACAAAAACAAAACAATTACTGAAACTTCTAACTGAAATTCAAATGAAAACAAAATATATAGAAAAACATTTGAAATGTAATATATAAAATCAAAGATTGAAATTTAAAATCAGAATAGAACAGAAAAAAATATTTAAAATTTAATTTAAAATGTTAACAAAATTATAATTAATTCTTCATACAACATGGATCACAACATATATATATATATATATATATATCGTTTTTTTATGGCTTTAGTTTTAGATAACTATAGCCTACATATAAATAGTATTTCAATTATACTAAAATATCACTGCATCATCAGAAACACGTTTGCATCACTACTGTAAATGCTTTAATAATGAGTGTCATTGTGTATTTTCCGGGTCACCTGAGAGCGATCCTTCGGTCTCTAGATCCCAAACCATCACTCCACCACAAACACACAGCCTGCGCTCGCCTTTCATACGATGCCGGATCATTTTCAGTCCCTGCGAAATGGATATTAGCTAACACTCACTGTCTTCCGGTAATGACTGAGTTTGCCAGTAGGTTGCAATGCATGTTTATGATGATCAGATTATAAAAAAGGTTAAACCGCATTAGTCCTCCTCCTCCTCCTCCTCCTCCACTAACTAAAAAACTGTTAGACATTCTGCACCTGCTCCATGAGTATGTGTGTGTGAGCATGTATATCCAATATCATTACATTTTTTTAAGCACTACATGAGTTTCATGCACAGAAATTAAACAATGCACAAAGAAAAGCAGACTTTAAAGGTGACTTTAATGCTGTAAACAGTATTGTTTTAGTGGTTTGGATGTTTTGGATCTCAATCAGCATCAGATGAAGTTTAAACTCACATGCAAGATCTGAAAGAAAGAGTGAAAATAAAGCGACTCCGTGGATCATTTCTGTGAAACAGTTCTTTTCATTCCTGCACTGAAGCAGAAGCTCAAAACAACTAACTAGTTTAATGCCCTGAATTTGTTTTGTAAATGAATCCTGAATCTGAATGGTCAGATCTGTTGAGAAGCTCAAAAACCAAAGGCTTCATCTATAAAGTTCATTAACTTCATGTTCTGTGTTATATATAGGTGTATTTTTATATATATTTGAAGACTGAATTGTGTTTTATATATATATATATATTTTTTTTTTTTTGTAGTTTAATGTTGTAATGTAGATTTTAAACTTTATTCTTTAGCGTAGCGCTACTTTATCTTCCGTATTTATTTATATAAGTCAGACATTGAAGTGAGTTGTTGTTTTTGTTACTCTTTCTGTTTTAAAGATGTTTTCTATATTCATCCATTGTGTCCTCTTAAGGTGCAATTTTGTTAACCTGGCAACACATCCCTATATAAAACAATATAGTTAAACCATGGTAACCACATTTAACCATGGTTTTGTTACAATAGTTGCCACGGTATTTAAAACTGTGGGGAGTCGATACTCAAAAACATGGTTATTACACCTTTAAACTATGGTTAATTTGGTGATTATGATATTCACAAACTATGATATTCAAATGAATATGAATGATTCACAAACACACTCCGAAGATACGATCTTAAAGGGGTCATATGACGTTGCTAAAAAAAAACACATTATTTTCCACATACTGTACATTATTGTTTCTCCTCTATGCCCCGCCTTTCTGAAACGCGTCGATTTTTACAAAGCTCATCGGTCTGAAAAGCAAGGTGTGCTGTGATTGGCCAGCTATCCAGTGCGTTGTGATTGGCCGAATACCTCAAGCGTGTGACTGAAATGTTACGCCCAGGCCCGGATTGGCCATCGGGAGCACCGGGAGAATTCCCGGTGGCCTGGCAACTCATTTGGCCCGCTGCCCTTTTTAATTTTTAATTTATTATTATTATTATTATTACATATTATTGCCTGCCGAATGTACTAATGTGCTAATTTCCGAATTCTGCATTCGATAAAAAAAATCATGAATCGGTTAGTCTTGACTGGCAGCACTATGATTCGGCTCACGCGCGCTCCGCGCCTCCGCTAAACGGTTTCGAACAGAGTAATCAATGCGAAGGAACAGAGAATGAAGATGAAGCGGCCACGCCAGAAGCAGCAAAATGTAGCAAAATTACTGACCTGTTCAGGGCTTCAGGTGCAGGTCAGTTTAATCTGTAAACAGGCCACTATGGTTCTGTCTTTGTTAACTTAGTTAAGCCGGCCACCCAGGTGCCCCCTCACCTCTGATTATATGTTTTAAAGTTACGTTATTAATTTAGCTGACAGATATTCACATTAGGGCTGCACGGTAAATCGCATGCGATATTTAACGTGCATCTTGTCAGAAAAGCCGGTTCTGTAATTGATTTAAAGTATAGGTTTGGAAGGAACTAGTGCAGACAACAACACAAAAATAGTCATAATAATGCAATAACATGTTCAGTATTAGGATTTTTTTTTCTTTATAAAGTTTTTTTTTTTATAAAGGTAAATTGGAAAATATGTTTTAATATATTTCTAATATAGTTGATATATTTGAATATTGGGTATTTAAATCATTTTAAGATAAAACAACAACAACAAATTGTCCTAACTTTGAATTTTCTCTTTGGAGTGTTATAAGCTGTTCGTGCAGAGGCTTTCACTGTGGACGAAACGGAGTCCAGCCAGGGGTCGTCACATGTGGTTGCCGCAAACCCGCCGGACTCCGCTCACTCTAGCCCCCGGCCTCCGCTCACTCTAGCCCCCGGCCTCCGCTCAGTCAAGCCGCCGGCCTCCTCTCACTCTAGGCCCTGGCCTCCGCTCACTCTAGCCGCCGGCCTCCTCTCACTCTAGCCCCCGGCCTCCTCTCACTCTAGGCCCCGGCCTCCGCTCACTCTAGCCCCCGGCCTCCGCTCACTCTAGCCGCCGGCCTCCTCTCACTCTAGGCCCTGGCCTCCGCTCACTCTAGCCGCCGGCCTCCGCTCACTCTAGCCCTACAAAATAATGTTCTTTTTAGCAACGTCATATGACCCCTTTAAAATCATTACCAGTGATGTCGAAATTCGAAAATGAATGGCTCTTTTGATCTGTTTTTTTTTTGCTAGTGAATCGCTTGAGATCGAAGCCACGAGTTTGAATCAATCGGAGTGGTTCCAGTGTAAATGACTCACTCAGTTGAATCGGTTTGTCTGATCCTCCGCTGGCGCTGGTCACTCCTTCAGCCATGTTTACACGACACTCTCAGTACTACTACTGGCTTAACTAGTTTTATGAGATTAACTGAAATAAGCGAAAAAGTATGATTTTTACAAATAAAATATCCACATTTCTATTCTGAAGAACTGCTTTCCACGTCGAAGAATCCAACAGAAATGTAAAAACATATTCAGGTGAGGTAACGGTTTACTGCTAACAACTAACTGGAAACATTGTGCATTCATCCAACTACCCGAACATTTTCACATTTATGACTAAAGTTTTTTGCTATGGCCAACATATGTTACTCATAATTCATAAAGAGAGTTTCTTTTTATGTTTGCATGTTCATTAAACAATAATTAGACAATTTTGATTATGTAAAACCAACAACATTACACCAGCATCAGAGCGTTGTGTCTCCTCATTTTATTTTAAGATCAAAAATGAATTGGACCAATGATAAACCGCACTCTTATTTCAGTGTGTTATATATATATATATATGTGTGTGTGTGTGTATTTATGTATATATGTATGTATATGTATACATGTATAGCATCCAAAATAAAAGTGTTTGCTTTCATAATATGTGTATACTGTGTATATTTATTATGTATATATAAATAGACACACAAACAGTATATATTTTGAAAATA